AGAAGGATGTTAGGTGGGGAGTTGTTGGAGTTGAGGCTACATGCTGAAGAAAAATAATCACTTTTTTGCATTGTTTCCCTGATGAATCTGCAAGAACAGTCGTGCACAAGCAGATCTGTTCTCAAGTTGATAAATATTGGCCACTATTCCGAAAATGTTGTATATGATGCACTTAAATATCAAATATTTTCATGATATGTAATTTAAAACAGATTAACATACATCTACAAGTTGAAAATACAGTAAATAATTTCCATTTTAATAGGAAGAGAGAAGAGACTAGTGTGTTGCACTGCCTACTGCCTTTATGTGTGTGTGTGTGTGTGTGTGTGTGTGTGTGTGTGTGTGTGTGTGTGCGTGTGTGCCCATAGTATGTGTGCATTCTTGGGTGCTGCTGAAATATGTGGAGCTCAGTTCTCTGGGGGTGAAAAGACAGATGAGGGTACAGAGTTAGAGTGAGGACACAATATTTCATCATGGACACTACAGAACCAGGCCTGGATAAATTGTTTAAAATAATCATCATATGGCTATCCGTTGGCCCACAACATATAATACCACACACACGGTACATGATGTTATCATCAATTCTGAAGCTTCACTCTGCTTTTCTGTGCTCATGTTCCTGGCGTAATCCACAGAACATCTTCCTCTTTATTTCATCACATCGTGAGGATTGGGAATACTAGTATTCCTTAGGGAGTACCCTCCTCCTATGGCCTTCTCACTGCACCTTGCACTGTGGAATGTCCTCTCAACAAATCAATGTCTGCCTGCTTCTCGACTCGCTTCCATCTCCCACTGTCCACCTTGCAATGTGGAATGCTGTAATCCATAGATAATCACGGACTGTTTATAACCACAGGAACACCTTTCAGTAATTTGCATAAAATCTAACCCCCATTCAATTGCCTGACACCATTCAAATGCAGAATTTCTTGTAATTTGACTGGTAATTGCAAATATAAATTTATTATTAAAGACCTGTTTTTATCAATAGCAGAATCCACTGTTGATGGTCCTTTATCTTCTTAACCAATTATTTGTTTTCAAAGCTTGTTGTTGCCTTTCAGATAAAAGCAACCTCATACCACTCCCACTGTACCCTATCAGATTAGCTGGAGGTCTTTGTTGACACATACACACCACCTGCTGCATGACAAAATGCCCTTACGCCAAACTTTCACTCTCCTCTCATCAAGAAAGATAGCAAACCTCCTCCTGGTGCATCACAGACAGGAAACAAACAAAAAGGAAACCAGGACAGACGCCAATCTTCCGCCCATCAGATACCAATCAGGGCCTGGCAACCTGCTGGCATCCCTCTGGAGGACTGAGATCAGTATCTGGCAACGTGCTGGTTGTCCAGTAGCCGGCAGCCTGGTGGCTGTCACCCAGTGCCCAGAGAGAGACATCCTCTTAGGGCTGGGACAAAGGTGGTCGGTCCTCAGGGATTACCCATTAGCATGCTAGTCAGTGTGTTTAACACTGGTCTGAATGGAAAGGACAAGAGCCAGCACCCTGGTCTATTCTTAGGCAGGGAAGTGTTACTGTTTCAGCTGCTAATGCTGCTCTGACTTAATCATATATACACATACATGCATATCAGAGGAATTTTTGTTTCTACCACTATGTTTACTGAGGTAATGACAGTTAAGATGTGATGCTGTAAAAATCATCAACTTAAAACAGACTATTCATTCAATAACCAGTTATTTTAAAGTTCTTAAAATCTTTTCATGATCCTTTCCTTGACTTCCCACCAACAATGTGGTCAGCTGACTTATGTGTTGGTCCTTTAGCGGTTATCAGACTGTGACATCCGCTGATTTAGTAGAAAAAATACATATTGTTTGTTGTCAGATTTGCAGAATCGGTGTGATCGGTGACAGAATGGCATGAATGGCATAAATGGCATAGAATGGCAAGATGAATGCATCCGTCCCCTTCTGGGATTTATGCCACAAGCTATACAAGGAAGTTGAAACCAGGTGGTAGCTGAAAATATTGCTGATTTATTCATTCTGTGAAATTAGCCAATTTCTCAATGGTGATTTAGCTATCTGTATTTTGGGGTGACCATAGTCTTTCATTTTCTCTCTCTGTGTGTGTTGCCTAATGATGCGTTAAGACGCCTGTATGGAAATGTGTATTTGTGAATCTCTGTGATTGTCCTCAATGATTGTGTCTATGTGTGTCCGTGATTGTGTGAAATGCTCCTTTTTTTCGTGCTGCTGTGTGTGTGTGATTATGTGCTCAGACTTGCTGGCTGGTGGCTGATAATGACACAAGAGGCCGTGTGTTTGTGGATCTCTAGCTGAGGAGATTCCCACCATGCTCAGCGTGTCTGGGCTCTGTGTGTTTTTGAGGTTGCACGCGTGACTCCGCCAGCTGTTCTATTCTCCTGTTGGCCCCCTCAACCCTACCCAGCCCTCGTCCCTCACCGACCCCTCCTTCTCTCGGAGGCCTGCTCTTCATCTGATAAGGGCCACGCTGGCCAAACCCTCGGCAGAGCTCCTCAGAGCCCCTCAAAGCTTCTCCATGCTAACAATACACCCTCCTTCCCCTCCACGCTCACACCATTTACATGTGAAAACACTGGGCCTTATCTCCAGTTCACTGGAGCTATGGCACACCGGCCAAGAGAGTGTGCATGGTCGTATATGTGTGAGCAAAAGTGCATGAGTTGAAAGCAGGTGAACACATCCCTTTATATCTCTTCCTTTTTGCAGGAGAGAAACATTATCGGAAAAAATACATGAACAATCAGCACTAGTTGAAAGAATTAAGGTCTTTATTGTCAGTGGGACACAAGCCAGCTTTGTCACACTTGCACTGTATCCAATAGCTAATGGCCAGTAATGCCAAATGAAAGACCCCCAAGAGAGGAAAGGTAGTCTATCTTTACTGTCACCTTGGAGTATTGCCATGATGTCTGTGAACAATAGTCCCCCTCTACATGAACACAAACACCACCACTTTCCTCACTACGCCCATAACAGCCAACTCAACTCTTACTCCTCTTCCTTATTGTGATTGTTTGCTCCCTTCTGCATCATTGGCCACTGAGGGTCCATTGACTTAAGAGTATTGCGGCTTGGTCTCATGTCCTGTGGGGTCATAACTCAAGGGACAGTGTCATCTGCTCCAGCAACACACTATTTTACAGCAATTGTAGAAATATTCCTTCTGCCCATTTACCAGCTGCCAGCAGAAATAGACCAGACAGCAAAAGAGAAGTGTGCAGGCTTCTAATTAAAGTCTGTGTAGTTAAGGACTCGGGCTAAGCAAACATGGGCCTCCGCCATCAGAGTTTAAGATGAGGTAAAGGAGAGCGGGGCTATGAGAGAAAAGCTCCTAACACCGGAAGAGGAAGAAAGGGTGAAGGGAGTGAAAATGCAAGATGTATGAGTGTGGGCACATAAAAGATGAGCAGGACTATTACGGTGCGAGGGGCAGGTAGGCAATGGGAAGGACAGGAGATAGGATGGGCGTGTGCTGTGAGAGATGGTATCGCATGTTATCTGATATGTCATAATGTGATGCGGATATTGGAGTGGGAGGGGCAAAATGAGATGTAGGGTTTTGGGGTACATTACAATGAAAATAGGGGGTGACTGGTGAGATAGTATTCATAATATTCATATATTCAGTGAACTAGTTGTCATAAGAGATGCAGATAGTTGCCATGAATCTAAGATGTATGCAAATCTTGAACATTGTTCAAAGCTTGATCATTTTTTTTACCAACAAAGGTTTGACAGAACCTAAATTGGAAGATTCTGCGCTATGCTTTGTCCATTATGGTGACATGGTGACCTCTACTGGTGGAAATGTAGAGCTGCAGGACTTTTTCATCTGCTAGTGCCATCCAAATCATGGATACTTGAGGGGACTCGAGCAAGAGCGTATTTCCCTCTCCTCCAGTGTTTTCATTTAAACTGATTCAAACAGCAAGCCAGTAGCTATAATTGCTTTTTTGTATGTGGAAAACTGCATTTTATGAGTTGCAGGCCTTACAACCTTGGAGGTATTTAAACTGTTATAAAGGTACTGGGATGGTTATAATATAGGGCACAGAGCCAGTAAAGTAATGCAGGGTCATAATGCAGGAGTTCGCTTTCATAACCCAGACATGGCTACCACGGATATGCAGTTGTTTGCATGTCGTGACTGTTTGAGCCAGGTAAAAGCAGTCTTGGACTACAAACTGGGCAGTACAGTAGGTGGCTGTATGCGACTTATAAGTAACAGTTGCAATCCTCAGTTAGACCAAAACAAGAAGAAGAAGAATGGTACAGCTGAGGCTGGAATAGGAATATCAGTTTTTGGACAGAAGATCCCTTTTTGGCTGTCATGAGCTGTCATTTATGACATTTGGATGTAATTATATACCATCACATTTATATGACAATTTTATGGCATACTATACCATGACTTTTTCATGGTATATAAGACCCTGACATCTTTGGCAAAGGTAACAAAATGTAAACATGAAAGTGGCATTTTTATGATTTTTGATGTTATATTACAGTTTGTTATTTTTATGGACATTTTATGTCATAAGATACTATGACTTGTTTTATGTCATTTCCGTGGCATATTATACTATGACATTTTTGTTGAATAATTTTGTGGCATACTATATTAGTTTTTTTTTTACCTTTTGTGACAATTTTATGATTTGTATTTACTATATGCTATGATATTTTATGTCATTGTTTTGGCATACTATACTATGACTTTTTAAAAATAACTTTTTTATGTCATACTATTTATTTTATTTTTTCTGGCACACTATTCTTTACATTTTACATTTCTATACGATGATATTGTAATATTGATGTCTTTTATGGCATACTATGTTAAGACATCATTTGTTTTGACATGTTTTATGTCACACTATACTATGAGATGTTTTTCCATCACGTTTTACTACATACTATATTATGTAATTGTATGTCATACTGTACTTACTGAAACTATAATCAAAGTATCAAGGTAATATCTTGCTTTACTGGTGTTTCCTTCCAATGAGTTCCTCCAGCTTCCTCCGCTTGTCTTGGATCTCATGTCGGAGAGACATAGACGGATGAGCTGCTTCTGATGAGCCTCGCTGTGTTTCTTCAGCTGCTCCGCCAGAATTTTCTGGAGGACAGAGCCTCAATAAAAAAACATCACCACGTGATCCAGACTTTTTGTTCGAAATAAAAGCAGCTGTGGAGGCAATCAGATTTGTCAGACATCGCTTGTTGGCACTACAACCCAACAGGTGAAGAAAGTGGAGAGGTGAGGGAATTAAAATGACGCAATAATGTACAAAGAGGCCCTGGTCCAGTGACAAATTGGTTGGACGATGTCATATATGTCATTAGAGTACTATTATTACTATTTTTTGGCATCTCGCTGCAGTGTACACTTTACCCTGCTCTACCACTGTCGTAGCTTTCCAACGAGAGCTACAACGCGACTGTGTTTATTTCAGAAGCTTTGTAATCCATCATGAACAACAGTACTTTTTTATTTATTTTGAATCTTTGTCTTCTGTGATTGGTTATCCATTTATTGAATCTGTGTTTTGAATATGTATTTTATACTACTTCATGCTTGTACTCCTCAGAGGGAAATACACATCACTCACTACATTTACCTGACAATTATAACTAATACTTTTGCAGAATAAGATTATAAAATAAAATGCATTGTTGAAGTTCAGACAAGTGGTACTTTAATGTTGGCTTGTAACCACATTGTTTCATTCAGAAAAAACATTCCAAGGCCCAGAGTTACTATATTTTAGAAGAGTATTTTTACTTTGTGGAATGGTACTTTTTCTTTAGTAAGAGATCTGAATGCTTGCATCTTCTCCACCCACATTGTCGACTCAGATAGCATTCCTGCTACTAAATCTTCATTATTTGGGGATCTGTGATATAAGGGTTGCCTGTCTGGGGCGCAGACTGGCAGTAAAGCTTCAGATTTTGCAATATTCATATTAAATTGTTGGGAAAATGTAATACTAGCTACACACAAGAACCGAGTCAGAATTTTATATTACTTTCAATATACAGAATATCGGGGATAAAAAGATCATGATGGGCAAAAGTCAACCCCATGAGATCAAATCAGAAAAAAAGGGAATTTGATCTTCAACATTCCTTAAAAAAAACCAAGACATAAACAACAGAACAGACAGACTGGCATACATTTTGTCCTGAGAAATGGCTTCCAGTAATACAGCAAATAACATGAATTCTGCTTTTACTCAATGCACCGTTGTACATTTTAATATAATAAAGGTACAGACAGTTGTGACACATAATCAATCCTTTGAAGGGCAATATCCTTGGGCTAAAGTTAACAATGATTATCTTTGGTTTTATTGTTTTTCTTGTGCCTGCATTATTACTTCTGGCTCTGGAGTAAAAGAAAGATCCAAAGCACAGCTACAATACACACGTCTCACTTTAAACTCCACCTCCTATTTACAGTGTTGAACACTTTGAAATGAATGAAAAAAAAAGGTTAAAAGACAATATCAAATGTATAAACACAGATCCTTCAGATGTGGATTTGATAGTCATTGTGTACCGAGGATGACACAGAGTTATATACATTAACAAATCTCAAGCAAAATGTGAACAATCTGATCAAAGAGATGATATTCTCAAATGAATATTTGTGCCCAAAAACTAATCACATACAAAGTGACTATGGGGCCAAACTGGCCCACAATAAGGCATCAACAAAATAAACAACATTTCTTTTTTTGTGTCTCCATAAAAACACAATTGGTCTTCAAACAGAAATGTGATAGTTAGTAGAAAAGAGCCGGGACTCTCTGCTCAGAGGAATGATGTATGCAACTCACTTGGTAAGGATATATGCTGACCCAGTGAGTTTAATTTCTACTCCACTACAACAAGACATACAGTATTGTTGAAAATATTTTCTAAAAAAGAAACTCCACTGCTCATCTAGAAATATTTCTTACATTTTTCTAAAAAATAACTTTGTGGAAACACTTCAATGATTTGGGTTTAGTTTGAAGTACCACTAAAGAAGTTACAAAATGTAATACATTTTTTATTATAACTGGAGCCACATTATCACTGTCATTGTCACTGTTCACATCAACACCGGAGAAACAGATTTAAATTGTTGAGTACCTATTATTGAGCTGCTCTTGTTCAAACAACTGCATGTGTTCTTTTAAACTATGAAAAACAATGACACAGCACCTCTGTATTGTCTTCATTTGGACCGACTCTCTAAAGTGAATCAACTTCAGTAAGAATAAGGCTTCAACATGTCATTGCCAAATGATCTAAGTACAGCAAATCATCAAATCTAGCCGTACTCCTCAACAGTATAGACTTTAGAATTTAGATATTTAATATTGAACACAAGAAAAATCTCTTATAAACCCCACTACAGAAAGCACTGTAGATGTGAAGTATCCCATGGATGTGTAACTGATTTGGATGTAGTGCAACCATGGACTCAGCAGGGGGAGCCAACATACTAGATCAGTCTAGCAGGACGAGCTCGTCTCGGTCCAGTGCTTCAGTAAGCCGATGTGTGGGCAGCAAGTTAAGGACACTTTGTAGTGTACAGTTTCTTAATCCTTGTTGATTCCTCAGCAGGTCTCTGCTGTGGGCTGTCCTGGTCTGGTGGCCCTGCAGCCTGGTCCTTCAGTCCTGCAGTCTCTGATTTCTGACTAGTTATATCAAGAGAGAGGCTACAGCTGGTCCGACTCCTCTCTGGAGCTCAGACTCGGCTGCGTGCCCGAGGCTACAGTTCTGGTTGTGGAGGGACCAGTGGGAGGTGCTCTGGGGTAGCTCAAACGGTCTTGAGGGCCCTCGTATTGAGGCAACTCGCCCTCTGATGGAAGCTCCCCATCTGAGAGGTATGGAGGAGGAGGGAGATCAAACCAGGGAGGCCGACTAGGGGAGAAAAACAGAAGAAACAGAGGGGAAACATGTGATTTCAAAGGACTGTACAATACATATTTTTGACTGGGACCAGCATCCAGCCAAAGGTCTGGATGTACACGGCTTCAGTCATACTGTGCTGATAATCAGAATATCCTTCTCTACATCACTTCACAACATTTCTGTGTATATTTGAGTAATTTATATTTTTAAATAGCAACAATCCTCTATATAATCATTTATTTTATATAATTAAATAAATAATATATACTAGTAAATGAGTAACCAGATGAGTAAGGGGTTACTTGATTGAGAGCCACATAAAAGCAACACTGAGACAGATGCTGACAGATGTTTCAGATAGCATCCTTTACAACTGATTTAGTCTGTGTAAAGTAAAATTGACTTACTTACTAGTAAATCAAATTAGTTTTATTATGTTGAATTAAAATGATACACTAAATTAGATAAGACTTAGCTAGAGAGACAACGTTTAATGCCACTACTTCTGCTTTCATGCTATTTTAGCTTTAGCTTATAAACTTCCATACAGCTGTTAGAATCATCACTGCTTTCACCTGACATCCAGGACAGCTTGTGAGTATGATGGAGGTGAGTCCATGGAGAGTCCAGAGGGATAAAGGGTCCCAGACAGCAGCTGCAGTGTTTGAGGAGTGGAGCTATACTGGCCCCCTGCGGTAGGCGAGCCGGGGGAAAGACCAGGACCTCCGGGATGGACGTGGCCCCGGTCCAAAATGACCAGACGGGACAGCAGCAGGGGCTGGTGGTGGTGGTGGTGGTGCGAGCTTCCTCTTACGCCTCTGGGCAGCAGGACGCTCCGCTTCCTCTGGTGATGGAGTACCAGGGCCAGCAACGCCACCACCAGGACAAAGATAACTGCGCTGCCAATGACGGCATAGGTGATGCTGGGGTAGTAGCGCAGACGATAGTCCAGTGTCACAAAGTCCTGCCCCGGAGCTTCTGTGGGGGAGAGGGAAGGGGCATGAAGAGCAAATTGAGGATGCATGATGTAGCAGGTTGGGGGAAGAGGGAGGATGAGTGGTGGCAGGAGAGACAAAGAGAGGAATGGAGGAAATAAGGATGAAGAATAGGTAGTTGAGGATACAGGAGGGTGAGTGGTGGAGTTGAAGAGCCCGGGGAATGGAGAAGGGAGTGAGGAAGACCGGCATGAATATAAAGCAGTGAATTCAGGTTCATTCTAAAATGTGTTCAGTGTGATTCAATAGAGGCGGCCTCTCTTGGAGATGAGAGTGCTACATAATAAGCATAACAGCAGTCAGACTCTCAAGAGAACAAAAAGCGCAGCGTGTTCTGTGCAGAGGCGAGTTTTGAGCCCACAGTTCACAAGCAGGGACCTCACTCTCTATCTTAAAAAGAAAGAGAAAGAAAAGAGAGGCTGAATAATTCTTTGTGGGGGCAAAACAGCTTACAGCTATTTTGGATGAAACACGACATGAGTTGCTCAGCATTGAAGATGAGAGAAGGCACCGGGGGACGTCACACATTACCATGTCTGTCGCGGGGAAACGGGGAGTCTGAGGGCTACCTAGGAATCCAGGGAACTTTACGTTCGCAATGAGAGAGAGAGAGAGCCGTGGCCAGTGGCAAGAAACGCAGAGCAGTCAACTCTCTGCCTGAAATGAGGAAAGGGAGTACTACAATGCCAGAGAGCACTGCAGCTTATTATTATTTCAGATGGGATGAGGGAATAGCACTTAAACCTTTCCGCTGACTGATATTACAGAGTGAGAATTTAAATCAGCCACTCGGGGTGAGGCTCTTTTAAATGGCGTTTCTGCTGCTTACCGGCAGACAGTACTGTTGAACCAAGGAGAGAGGTAGGGAGAGTGGAAGGAATCCTATTTATTACGGAGCAGCAGGAAGGCTGTGCTAATGAGGAATTTACAGTTGCTGTTTCAGTTCAAATTACACTTTTGCCTTTGGGAGCCTGTAAACATCAAACATCCATGTGCCTCCTAAAAAGTTCAAACCGCCCTTTGGAGTACTTTTTTATGCTCTGTGTTCGAGGTGTCTGTGTTGCAGCTTAACAGAATGTGTGCATTAACGCCTAATATACACTGACTCACATCTCTGTTCATTAGCCATCATGCAGTCCGTTGAGGATATTGCCGAGAAAGCTTGCCAGGAAATGACCATTGCGAGATATCTCAAGGTTGAAATCAATAGTCCGAAAATGCTTCCATCTGTAAGGATTACATCCCCTGAAACTGCAAAGAAGGCAAGTCCATTTGGAGCCTTTTGAAGTACTCCTGGCTTATATAGACTTACAGGCGCTTGGGGGGATATTGCGTTTAGCACAAGGTAGAGATTCTCCAAACACGTACAAGCTAGAACTACGGGGAGGATGAAATGAAACGTGCAGACCTCCACAAGAAGTCAACCAATGTGACCCTGTAATGGTTCACAAAGATATACTGACTAAAGGGAACTCCACTCACTGGCTCCAAGTAGATTATGTAATATCTCTTTAAATGTACTGGAGTTCAAATCATGCATTGATAGAGGTCACAATGTGCACTTAAACGAATAGTTTCACATTTTTGGAAATACGCCGTCTTGCTTGGAAACAAATTACCACCCTGTGCAGTATATATTAAGCTAAAGCCAGCAGCCAGATGGCTTAACTTTGCATACAGACTGTAAACAAGACACAAGGAAACAGATAGCGTGGCTTTGTTTGTTCAATCTGTACAGAAATACCTCAAAAGAACAGGTGGAGGTTTCAGCTTCCTCTGGGTTACGTACCAGACTATTTCTTTGCCGGGCGCAGTGACTGTGCCTTTTCAAGAAATAGCCAGGCATATATACGCCCTGTTCACTTTTATCTACATTCGCGCATGGCACCGTTGGCACGAGCCTCCATAGATAGCACGCCAGCTTCGAGCACGCACAAAGGCATTTATGCTCAGCGCAGTGTTCGTAGCAGCAGTCTCCAAAACACCAGAGGGGGTACAAACAAAACAACGAGTGTTCCCGGGAAAACGCCTGAAACCAACCTCCACAATGCTGAGACGCAATTGTGATTACCTGTAAACTCATATCTCATATTCATGGACTACTTTAATTGCCTTTATACAAAGAAGTCAAGTACTAAATGCATTTTAATGAATCAAAGGTTGAATCTCCTGTAAACAGTTGGATTTTCTCTGTTATGTTAATAGTGCTTTAATCAGTGAACTATTTGTGACAGTCATGTCTGAAAAGCTCAGAGCGCCACACAGCGAGCACCTACTTACACACATTCAGAGGTGCACGATCAAGCGCCGCGACCACGCGTGGAGCCGTCGCACTCGACGTACTCGGCCTCACTAGGGCAAGCAGAAACCTAGCTTTGCTGCAATGTGCTCTTTTTATGTCAGGTTTTTGTGACGAAAAAAACCCAAGATATAATGTGGAAGTTGGTAAACTTTATTCAGTTACCATCTGACAGATCAAGGCTAGCTGTTTCCAGTCTTTATGCCAAGTTTATCTCTTTTATCTACAAGATTTGCCCAAATGTCAAACTTCTTCTAAGAACCATTAAGGGTTGGAGAAACTATCAAAGCTCAATATTTGTCAGAGCTGTTTCTGGACAAAGCAGCAAGCCATCATAAGAGGATGAGTTTCTCTAAAACTTTGCATGGTGTTCTTCCAGATACCATGCTGCATGTTTCCTCAGTCTACCTGACCTTGGAGGCCTGAGGGAGTCTTCAGCAGTGTGCGTTTGCGTTTGTGTGCACACAATGCTGTTGAATTCTCAACAACAACCAGCCTGGCGTACTGCCTATTTATGTACCAGTGTGTAGTCAGAGGCCCCATGCCTTAATTAAATCTAATCTAATTCAGATGCTCCACCCGCTCGCTGCCCCAACCAGGCCCCAGCCAATAAAAGAAGCCCCCTCGACCCCTCCCTTGTGATTTACAATTGGCCAGTCGTTCACGCTACCAATTAATTATGAACTGGACTCTCAGCAGAGAAAGGCCAAAACAAAGAAAACTGATTTCCATAATGACTTAGTAAAAAAAAAAAAAAAGCACAAATAAAAAGGGATCACTCCGCTGCCACCCCATGCTGCCTATCAGGTCTCAGTGCAGTCCTCTGAGAGCAGACAAAAGGAAGTCATAATGCTGCAACATTAACAATGGGAGCCAATTCGGAACATTAGCGATAAGTGAAAGGCTGTTTCAAATCACACAGGAGATGAAAGGACAGAGAGAAAAAGAGACTGAAGCAAGCTTCTTTTCTGTTAGAGGACGGAGGTCCTGTGTGTGTCTGCCCCCCCGCTGTGAGTGTGATTGAGCTCCACGTTCTGTGTTTCAGACCACTTTGAGCTGTTAGTTGCAGTTGTGGCTCAAAGAACGGTGTGATCACCACGTTCAAAGATAGGCGAGGGTGGACTCACAACAACAATGATAATTCTGATTCAAAAGAAAGGACTCAGAATCACACACCGGTACCTTATGGACACATGCACACTTCATGTCCTTTGATGGCAGAAATTGAATTTCTCTGAAGTATGGATTCACACATCAAAGTCCTGGATAGATGAGATGTTGTGTTTAAGGTACATCAAATGGAAAAATGGGAAAGCCACAAACTCTCACCTATGGATAAACATTTTTCCCCCCATTCCCTTTTTAAGATGAAAATCAATAACCATTTGACTGACAAATATTAAGTTTAACTTTGCATTTTACTGGCTTTCAAACTTGTACTGTGCTCACACTACATGTACTCCTACTTTGTGCCTCATTCGTTTGATGGAGGAGTCACGATCAAAGTTGAACATCAAAGTTCACTGGCTTTTCTGTCTTGTCTTGTCAAATCTGACAGGAAGGGCTGAGGTAGGCTACATTTCTGCTGTTGACCAATAGCAAAGCTGCCTGGACACTGTTGAAAGTATAGGAGTTAAGTCCAAATCGAAGGAAGTAGGGCTGTCCCCTGTTAGTCAACTAATAAGCTGTTTTGGTCTAAGTCGACTCAGATTTCTTAGGTCGATTAGACATTTTTTAAGCTTTTTTCATACTGAATGACTTATTTCCAGGAAATTTAGGACCACATCTCTAGTACACACAATATTTAAAGTGGTGCTTTTGTGTGGTTCTTTGTGGAGAAACTTAGTTGTACAGACAACCCCCCCCCCGGGATATAATTCAAAATATTCAGCAGACAAATTTGAAAGCATTTAGAGATAAAAAGCCAAGTCAATAATCACGGTCTATGATGAATGTGTATGGTTGATCAGCTTAACAACCTCCAGACATTATAGCCAAATTATGCTGAATTTCACTTCAAAAGATGAAACCGGCCAACTGTGAAAACATCCTTAAATGTAGCATCCTGCTAAATGGGCAATTGGTAAATATCGTCAATCAGCAAAGTTCATTTCTTTCAGTCAAATGTGTCTGTCTGCTAAATCACTTAATTCTGTTTGGTGGCTTACGATGCTTTTCCATAATTTCTATTTGATGCGCATGCTGTTATAGCTGCATGAATTAGCATTTAGTCTGGTGATATCTCTAGTTAATTGTTGTAACAGCAACAATAACATTATTTCACACGATAATGCAGATTTTTCATCTAGCGGTTACGGCATTAATGACAGAATAAATGTCTGTTGTCATGCCAGTTGGTAGTACAATACAGAAGGCCTTTCCTTCACTCTGGCGACTGTCTTTACAGCCGTATGAAGGCAGAGGGTATCCATTCCATCTGCATTCTCCAACTGGAGAGATAATGTCACTGTCGGGATACAATCACGCACGGCAGATCCGCTGGTTATGTTTTCTGCAACCAGCATCAGACCGTTGTGATATAACCACAGAACCCTTCGTGCTTATGTGCACATCAAACGTGCCATTTCCATTAATTATTCTACAGTTTCTTGGCACTTGGCAGGGCGCACTTAACTGCGATCTGGCCGTGCTGCTGGGTTCATGCAAATAAGAGCCAGCAGTGT